CCCCCCCCAAAAAAAAAATAGGAAGAAAAGGTCAATAACTAGAACGTACAAGACTACTTTTGAAGGTTGAAATCTAACTGTTTCCCAATGACCAGAATTCTGTAGTTTCCTACTTGTTATGGTGCTTATCTGCTACTTCTTCAAAGTTTGTTGAAATAGAAATGCTAGCACGGAGAGAATATATTAAGTTTTTGTTTGTCTGGTGACAGCATGATTACCTTCTGATTCAGAAAAGAAAAATCAAAATTTCATCTTTTTTGTTTCTGTTAATGAATTTGCTTTTTTGTTATAAACATGCGGGTTTCTCCACTCACTTTATTTGGTTCCGAACAGCTTGTGCAGTCATGTTAACATGGGTTATGGGACAGCGGTACATGCAAACTTCAAAAATCATGCCGGCTGGCGTTGTTGCTGGTATCAGGTAACTGCTAATGAAAAGCATGCCATACTGGCTTTCTAGTCAATTTGCTTCTTGTTTGCTGTATTTTGTCTCTTTAAGCATAATAGGTTTGTGTGGTATGAATATTTTATTTGAGGCATATCACATAGGGCAATATATGAAGATGTTCTATGCTGGTCATTATATCTGCGGTACTAGTACATCAGCAGCAAACAAAATGTTGGGTTCCTTTTAAAGAAGTTGTTCGATTTTGTTTAAAGCGGATAATAGTGAAAAAATATTTCCATGTCTATCCATAATACATGAATAAGAGCGAATTGCTTCAAAAGTTCATCCCATGCAATATGGGACAGGATGATTTGTTGGGAGGATGAAAAATTTGCTTATCTTCGCTGCTGTTTTCAGACGCTATAATATAAGAACAGAACAGACTTCAGTCCTGTTGTTTGTTCCATGTATTAATTTAGAATACATGATAGTTATCTTATACTTTTCTAGCTGTGTCAACATGTACTGCTGTGTTACTATAGCTTTAAAGTAACATGCACAAGACCTGCAGTTACAATGTATCTATCTCTTTTTATTCTTTTTGGTTAATTATGCAGACTAAAAAGTTCTGTGTAGGGAGCCTTTATCTCGTTAAATCATCATTGCAAATATAGAGCAAATTAGGGGAAGAAGAGAGTGGAAGTTCAGTTCATCTGTCTAGCCTTTGCAAGCCGAAACTGCCTTATGTCCCTCAAAAGCTAAAGATTGGTCATATGAAGAAATCTTTGTAGATCTTAAAAGTTGGAAGCTTCACAAAAATTTAATGGGCACTACATAGTTTCTTATTGGGTTAATAGAGAAGAATCTTGCTTGCTATTCTTATATGGGGATAGGGATGGCAATGGGGCGGTGCAGGTGCGGGTTTATACATATGCGGGGCGGTGCGGGGTTAAACATATGCGGGTGCGGGGCGGGGCGGGTCAACATAACAACAAATTCAGTTTTTTGCGGGTGCGGGTGTATTTATTCTGTTCTCTCTCTCTTTTGCGGGGCGGTGCGGGGTTAAACATATGCGGGTGTATTTATTCTGTTCTCTCTCTCTTTTCTGCAGTGCCCTCATGACTGGATTTTACCTCTATAAAATTGCCACAGGAGGAAACCATTTCCCACCTAAGACTGAGTAATACCATCTGATTTGTTTATTTGGAGTTCCAATTCCATACTGTATGTATTGATTATTTGCTGTACACAGCCGGCTGAAAATGCACGTTTATTGAATACAATGGGATTACTTTAAGGTGTTGAACATTAGTTTTGTGATAGACAAATTGTCTTTACTTTATGGTGTATCAATGTAACAAATCAATTATTGGTCATCAATTTTTATAACAATGGTGTCCGGTCTATCTTGCTCGCACTTCAATTAATCTACCGGGTACTTATTATCTCCCACCAATATGGGTACTACGCGTACCAAGGCGTAGGCAGATGAAAGGAATCACACTTATCTTTGCTTTCATGGTGTATAAATCTGCCAAATCCATTATCGGTCATCGTTTGGCTATTTGCCCCAATGGAACTTAGGGTTAGCTGTTGAAATTGCAAATGTAAAAGTTAAAAGGCCGACTATTTCTTTTGATAACGCTAAAAGGCTGATTATATACTTTTCCACTTTATATGGAGAGGGGGGCTTGTTGACCTTATTTTGATGTTTGTTTATAACTATATATAACCATTTTAACTTTTCATGAGGCATCCGGCAGTGTTACTACGTTAAATTATTCTGCAATCTCTGTGTAGATCACAAGTAGTACTAATTAAGAGTGTGTTTGGTACGAAGTAAAATATTTTCTTAAAAAATCAGTGATTTTCTTACTTATTTTATGGTGTTTGGTTAGGTAGCTGAAAATATTTTTTGAAAAATATATAATTTAGGCAAGAACTATTAGAGACAAAATAAGTAATGCGAGGAAGGTGGTAGGTTGGGATCTAGGGGCCGGGTGGGTGGCGAAGGATAGACGAAATGAGGCTCAGATTTGTCGCCACAAACAATTAGGCACATGAAATATTAAAAGTATCAACTAAAATTAACAAAGCTTAAAAATTACTCCCACGTTTTACGAAAAAAAATTCTTTCTGGACATTGAGAAGACACCATCCACAAAAAGAAAGTATAGTTTGATATCTCTAAATAAGGCATATTTTTGTCTCAAGATACCAATGGAGCTAAGATACCTTTCCAGAAACCAACAAAGTCAACTACACAGAAACATTATAAATCTCTGAAATTTGCAGTATAAATTCTTTGCCTCTAAGCTCATTTGCTTTTTATCTCAATAATGAACATTACCTTAATTCTTCTCCTATTTCTTGTCCCAATCTTCCTCCTCTTCGTTCGGAAGAGAAGAACATCGAAAAGAGTTCCACCAGGATCACTTGGATTACCAATCATCGGTCAAAGCCTTGGCTTGCTAAGGGCAATGAGAGCGAATACAGCAGAGAAATGGCTTGAGGAAAAAGTCCAAAAATATGGCCCTATCTCAAAATTAAGCCTCTTTGGCAAACCCACTGTATTCATTTATGGACAGGCTGCTAACAAGTTTCTATTCACTAGTGATGGCACTGTCCTCAGTAATGCACAAACACAATCAATCAAGATGATTCTAGGAGATCGCTGCCTTTTAGAACTCAACGGTGAAGATCATAAGCGCGTTAGAGCTGCTCTTGTATCATTCTTGAAGCCAGAAAGTCTGAAGCTTTATGTTGGAAAGATGGAAGAAGAAGTCAGAATTCATCTTCAGAAGCACTGGAAAGACAACCAAATAGTTAAGGTATGCCACAAACAGAGGCGGAACCATGATTTGAAACTTATGAGTTCGGTATTCTAATTCTTTTAAGTTACTAAATCAATAATTTGTACATAATTCAATAATTTATTAAGACAATGGACAAAAGTTACAGGGTTCAGCGAACCCGTATCTTTAGGGCTAGCTCCGCCCTCACAGACCCTCGTACTATAATTGTTACCTGCATTAAGCTTAGGCATTAACAACTGACTTCTGTATATGGTGTTGATTGATAATAGGTCTTACCTTTGATGAAGACACTCACCTTCGACATTGTTTGCTCTCTCCTTTTCGGGCTTGAATGTGGAACACGAAGAGACCAAATGGTTCACTGCTTCGAGCGGATGATGGAAGGAATGTGGTCAATCCCTATAAACTTGCCATTTACACGCTTCAACCGCAGCCTCAAGGCAAGCACAGATCTCCGGAAAATGCTGCAGCAGATTCTATGTGAGAAGCGCTATGCGTTTGAGCACAATTCAGCTTCATCCCACCAGGACCTCATCACCTGTTTGCTCAGCATCCGCGGAGAGAACAACAAAGAACTTTTATCTGAAAAAGAGATGATTCACAATATCACACTAATTATGGCTGCTGGACATGACACTTCATCCATCTTGATAACCTTTATGATAAGAGTTTTAGCTAATCATCCCAACATCTATGCCTCTGTCCTTAAAGGTAAGAACTAAGAACTCCTCTGAATTTCGTTCTGAGTTAGTCGTTCTATGCTTTGGGCTTAATTTCACGTATGGTCACTGAACTTTACCCAATTATAACAATAAAGTTGCGAAACTACTTTTTGTCACACTAAAGCAACTGAACTTTACTCACTATAACATAACAGTAAAGTCACTAAACTATTTTTCCGTATTAAAGTAACTATACTTTACCCATTATAATAGTAATGTCACAAAACTTTACCGATTATTATAGTAAATTCACCTTGACAGGTATGTTTTGTCGTTACCGTGGATAAAGATTACTAGCTTTACTATTATAGTGGATAAAATTTAGTTACTCTCAATGTGACAGAAGATAGTTTTGTGACTTTACTGTGACCACGCATGAAATTAAGCCTATGCTTTACGGCTTCCCTGAATAAGCTCCGTGAGTTCACAGAACAAGAAGAGATTGCACAAAGTAAGTTACCAGGAGAGTCCCTAACTTGGGAAGACCTCGGCAAGATGAAGTATACCTGGAGAGTGGCAATGGAGACACTCCGAATGGTTCCTCCGGTTTTTGGAGGTTTCAGGCAGGCTGTAAAGGACATTGAGTACGGAGGCTACCTCATTCCTAAAGGATGGCAAGTAAGATCAAGATCCTCTGTCTTTGAACTTCCATTCTTCAATACACAATTTTGATAGCCTTTTGTTTCCCTATCATATCTGATCAAAAGTTAACCACTGATTAACGGCTGCACGTAGATATTCTGGGTAACAGCAAAGACACACATGGATAGCAGCATTTTCCAAGAACCAGAGAAATTTGATCCAGCGCACTTTGAGAACCAAGCAACGTTGCCCCCTTACAACTATATTGCATTCGGAGGGGGAGCCCGTGTATGTCCTGGTTACGAGTTTGCAAAGATTGAAACTTTGGTAACAATCCATTACTTAGTAAGGCATTTCACATGGAAACTATGCTGTATAGAGGATACCTTCAGCAGGGATCCAATGCCAACACCAAATCAAGGTCTTCCCATCCAAATAATTCCCAAGAAACCTCTCTAATTCAATGAATTAATCCTTGGCTTGGAGCTGTACAACTTTAGAATAGAAAGTTGAAGGCTAAAATTTGGACGTGAAAGATTAATGAAGTTGTAATTGACATAAAACTTCATCCTTTCTCCTTATTCCAATGTATTCTGCATTTGGGTAATTTATTTGAAAAATGTTTTGGGGTTAGAGAACTTTACCATGGAAAAATAAGTGCGGATCTCTAAAGTTTTGCAGGCAGAACATGAGCAGCTAATATTGACTTTTTATACCAAGTCTCATCCGTATGAACAAGTTCTTTTGGATTTCTTCCCTAAATCTCATGCAATATAAAGCTAACTTAACAAACACGAGCAACTTGTCAAGCAAACACTATGTCCTGTACAACATTGAAGAAGCATTTTAAAGACAAAACTTTGTACACGAATTCTAAAATAAGATATATGGCCTTATGCATCCTATGCAATTGTATAACACCACCACGAACTCATGGGTGAAAAATTAATATGCAATTTACAGGGAAAAATAGGGAAAACATTGTTAACAACCTTGAGATTTGTAATAAATACAGAAGTGTTCGGCCTTCTCATCTAAAAGCTTAAGCCAAAGAAGGCATTTGAAAAATTTGGCCATTTAGCGTCCAATAGTGATTGGCCTTATGTTTTTTCTTTATAAAAAAATTGTTTCTATTACATTGGGGAATCAGGAAGGAGAAAGAGGACAGTGAGAATTGAACTTATTGCGTTGAGAGACTTTCAGTAGTACCACATTACACTGTAAGACTTGGTGGTAGGTCTCCTTATGCTTCATTTTACCTCTTCAACATTTTTTAAATAATTCACCAATAGGTGATTTCTATTTATTATGACGAAGAACACAATGCAGAATCAAATTAGACCAAAATCTTTTCAGTATTTGTTCGCTTGTTTGACAGCATTTATGTGGGAGAGCTTGCTAACAGAATAGAAGTCCTGTGGTTGTTAAGTCTATTTTAGGAAATTGAACGAGAAACTGGGATTACCGCTACTTAAATTACATTTTTTAAACCAAAATATGAAGAAAAATGATGTAGAAGAGTAAGTCTGTTTAGCTAAATATAGCTCAAAACAAGCAGAAATGCCTTCACTTGCTTGGTGAAAGTGGATTCCCATTGAGTAGAAACATATAAATGGTAGTTTGCATAATGGAAAGATTCCTCATTTAATAAGAACGATAGTCAATGAACACAAGCAGATCCTTCCAGCCACGCAACCTAATAAAGATCATCGCCACTTTTGTCACATTATTGATTTGGACAACTTGTTTTTAATAGAAAACCGAACACAACAGTTAATGTTTACAAAACACTATTCTCTTTGGACATGTCGCTCGAGTTAGACACCACAATCCACAATCATATAGGAGAGTATAACTTGGTATCTCAAGATGGGGCATATTCTTGTTTCAGGATACCATTATGGAGCTAAGATATCTCACCAATTACCAGTAAGAAGATCATATAAAATCCTCCTACCTCTAAGCTCTTTCCCTTTATACCTCAATCATGAACATTATCTTAACTATTTTCCTATTTCTTTTCCCAGTCTTCCTCCTCTTTGTTCGGAGGGGAAGACCATCAAAAAGGGTTCCACCAGGATCCCTTGGATTACCGATCATCGGCCAAAGCCTTGGCATGCTAAGGGCAATGAGAACCAACACAGCAGAGAAATGGCTTGAGGAAAGAGTTCAAAAATATGGTCCTATCTCAAAGTTAAGCCTCTTTGGCAAACCCACTGTATTCATTTATGGACAGGCAGCTAACAAGTTTATATTTACCAGTGATGGCTCTGTCCTCAGTAACCAGCAGACACGATCAGTCAAGATGATTCTGGGCGAGCGTTGCCTTTTGGAACTCAATGGTGAAGATCATAAACGGGTTAGAGATGCTCTGGTATCATTCTTGAAGCCAGATTTTTTGAAGCGTTATGTTGGAAAGATGGAAGAAGAAGTCAGAATCCACCTTGAGACTTACTGGAAAGGCAAGCAAATAGTTAAGGTTTGTCAAGTATACCTGTAATATTCTTGCATACAAAAATAGACATTTACAACTAATTTTCGTGTATGGTATTTGATGGTAGGCATTGCCTCTAATGAAGACACTCACCTTCGACATTATTTGCTCTCTCCTTTTCGGGCTTGAAAGTGGAGCGCGAAGAGACCAACTGGTTCAGTATTTCCAGTGGATGATAGAAGGGATGTGGTCAATCCCCATAAACTTTCCCTTTACACGTTTCAACCGCAGCCTCAAGGCAAGCAAAGATGTCCAGAAAATGCTGAAACAACTTATTCGCGAGAAACAGTATGAGTTTGAGAACAACTTAGCTTCATCCCACCAGGACCTCATCACCTGCTTGCTCAGCATCCGTGGAGAGAACAACCAACAACTTATATCTGAAAATGAGATCATTCACAATGTCATGCTTATCATGGTTGCTGGACATGACACTTCATCCGTCCTGATAACTTTCATAGTAAGACTTTTAGCAAACAATCCCAACATTCATGCAGCTGTCCTTAAAGGTAAGAACCCCTCTGAATGTCATGTGAGTCATTCTACCTTTCGAGTTTCTTCTAAAGTAGCTTGGCGGAAGTACAGAACAAGAAGAGATTGCACAGAGTAAGTCACCTGGGGAGTCCTTAACTTGGGAAGACCTTGGCAAGATGAAGTATACCTGGAGAGTGGCAATGGAGACGATGAGAATATTCCCTCCCATTTTTGGAGGCTTCAGGCAAACTGTAAAAGACATTGAGTACAGAGGCTACCTCATTCCTAAAGGATGGCAAGTAAGATCAGAATCCCCATCTTTGATCTTCCATTCATCAACCTGTTAATTTTGTTTTTTTTTAATTTCTGATTGGCATAATCCAAAGTTAACCCCTGCCTAATGACTGTACATAGATATTCTGGGTAACGGTTAAAACACACATGGATAGCAGCATTTTCCAAGAACCAGAAAAATTTGATCCAGCACGCTTTGAGAACCCAGGATCCTTGCCTCCTTACAACTTTGTTCCATTTGGAGGGGGAGCCCGCATATGTCCTGGATACGAGTTTGCAAAGATTGAAACCTTGGTCACAATCCATTACCTAGTAACACATTTCACATGGAAGCTATGCTGTACAGATGATTTCTTCAGCAGGGACCCAATGCCAGCACCAACTCAAGGACTTCCCATTCAAATAATTCCCAGGAATCTCCCTAATTCAACAAATTTAATCCTACATGCTTCTCCAAGAGGCAGCAGAGTTTTGTAACCCTCACAAACTCCTAAGGAGAATACTCCCTATATTATGATGTATTCATGTTAAAAAATGTACACTTTAAGGTCTGACCATCCAGCCACATTTACTGAAATATTCGAAATTTGAGGGCTAAACGTTGGATGTGAAAAATTGAAACTTTAGACATGCATAAGCAAGATTCTCCATTTTTTAAAATTGGAATATTTTTCTAGATTCAGAGTTTACAGCTAAAATTTATACAACCTTTTTCCTTTTTTGAAACTTGAAGGCTAAAAATTGGATGTGAAAAATGAAAATTTTCACGGTCATATTTTAGCACTTATTAGTCCTTCTAAACTATGTAATTTGATTCTCGGGCAACTTTTCGAAATTTGGGGTTTAGCGTTAAGATAACTCTACAATGGAAAGTTGAGAGAAGATCTCTAAGGTTTTAAGGCAGAAAGAAACAACTAATATTCACTTTTAATACCAACTCTTTTCCACATGTACAAGTTCTTTGGGATTCATTTTCCAAAGATCGTTCAGTATATATCTAAATAAAAACGAGGAACTTGTCAAGCTAGCATTCTGGCCTGTGCAACTTTCAAGAAGCACTGAAAGACCAAACTTTGTACAAACTCTTAAATAAGAGCAACATATATGTCCATCAGCAAACTATGTACCTAGGGAATTGTACAGCAACTTGAGAACTGATGAGCGAAGAATTATATGCAACATGCTAACCTCTGATAATTACAAGGAAGATGGGAAACTCTTGTCAACAACCTTGAGGTCTGTAATATTTCGGAGGCATAGATGGACATCTTTCATTCATATGGGGGTATAGATCCATACTATTGTATCCAGGTAGTTCCATCCGGTACTTTCCTCGAATTTGACAGAAAGGAAGCTTCACACTGTCATCTGCATTGCACCACTTCGGTAACCGACTTGAATTGGTCTCGAAAAACTTGAGAGAGTAAGCATCTTTTATCTGCACTCCCAGCAATAAATACATTACTTTTCAAACTCTAGAAGTTGAATCCAACATGAGACTTCCATGTGTTTTTCAATGAGATGAACCACCAGGCTCCAACATCCAACAGAAAACAAGTAATGCAAGAATTGTAGTTTTCTTTTTTCCCGATGATCAAAAATTGATGCAATAGTTTCACAAACACAAGAAACTTTAACATAGATCATAGAAGATTTGGATAACTTTCCAAGAATTGAAATACTTCTGGTTAAAATTTGGTCCCTTATACATTTTTGGAATTAAGATACTGAAAGGTATGCAAGAGTACAGTAAAAAGTTTTCTATTTTAGGGAAGTGGAAAATGGACACAATGTTTAGACAACCCCAAACAATTAAGTACAAAAGTTTATTTGGAACTTAAAATAATTGGAGCAAGACGAAAATATATATTTAGTAGGGATGTAAAGAATAATAGGAATAACGAGCGAAAGATGCCTCGCTACAGATGCAGACATGTGACCCCACCCCCACCCCCCCAAAAAAAAGAACCGTCACCCCACTTGAAAAAAAGCAGCTTCAGGTTCATCTAAGTACATACCATGCAAATGCCCTGAAAACCAACTGAAAAGTGGAAAATAAAGAATACGAACTCACCGTGAATTCTGTAACCTGAATTGAGCTTGCAAGTTCACCAAATAATCCTGCTTCCTTGTACATTTCAAGAATGAAAGCAACACATGATGTTGACTTTCCATCACTATAAACCCAATCATCCTTCTCTGGAATAGTCAACAATTCAGCAAAAGAGGATCCACGCTTTTCAACTTCCACAAGAACATCAGGAAGACTAAGGTTCTGCATGGAACAAAATGGATCAGCATGTAGTACTATATTTTATCAAGTGCATGATAGAGGTCTGCACTAATTTATCAATTTTGCTTGAGATATCAGAGAGTTAACAAAGCAAAGTACATTTTCCGTGTAACAATGGTTTTATGTCATCAACCTTAGTAAATACAGTATCTGATCTGCTTTAAATTAGTTACTAAATGGAAAAAAATAGTATCCAATCAGCTGCTTTAACAGTGTTTTTGTCCACTATTTTGTTCTCAACAAACAGAGGCATCTCATGAATGTGATCATACAAATACATAACCTGAGTTCCGAGTCGCTTGTTCAAGGCTTCATTCCACATGTTAGAAGCATACGCAGGCTGTAATTGGTTCCAAACAGTCATGACAGAAGCAACCTGCACCACACATCACTAAACCATCAGCAACAATTACATAAAAAAACAGGTTAAGTTTCAATTCAGGAAAAACATTTATTAAGCTTTTTTTAAATTTTAATACGAATAGGAGCGACAAAGAGCTGAATCTCAGCGGATCATGGTAGCAAGGCCACTCTGCCACTTTCAATTTCAATTTGCAGGAATACAGTAGCAGCTATTCAGCACACAAAAACCAACTGCCACGATGACCCACTTTATCTATAAATGCCGGTCATTTTTACTTGCTTAATGCAATTATCCTCTCTTCCCATCCCTCACCCGACATCCTCCTAAATTTCTGATTTCAATTGTCTTTCTCATATTCATAGGGTATCACATAGAGTGATTTCAAGCTCATTCATGACTCTATGGTGCTTCAAGGTTCTTACAACGAAACAAATACCAATTCAGCTCCCACGAGATACTAACCTATCATTTATTCACTTCTTAAGCACATATGCATACTTCGTGGAGTTCTATGGAACACTTGACTCATACAAGAATGTTATAGCAGTCAAATGAAGCTCCAAGAAGAAATTGATGATAACATCAAGTTAAAATTCGAATGGATACACCTTTATGGAAATCTAGATACTGTTCGATACATGAAACCTGAAGCTGAATGGTCTTGTGTGTGAAATGCATGCATTTACCCAAATACTTCATTTGCCAACATTATTATTTCACTAGCTGAGCAACTAAATCAGCTGGCGTCTATGTTACACGGTCTTCGTACTTATTTTATTTATTTGTGAGGACATAATTCAGCAAAAGAACAACTGGCTATAGTCGCAAACCAGAGGAATCAGGAAGTAAAGGACCGTATGAAAGAAAACAGCTTCAAAATAATACTGCAAAGTGCAAACACAAAATTGTGAAGACTGTAATATGAAATAACATGCATTACCAGATGAGCATCCAATGGTGAGGGGTAATTTCCGTCAATTGTGTCTATCCAGCTAAATATTAAGTTGTGGTAACCATAAGGTTGGCCATCCATGCTTTTTGCATATTCCCAAGCAGCAGTTTCATTAAACTTGGCACGGAGGTCAGGGTGCAAAGGGAGCAATGCAATATGTGGATTGGAATCATCTTTTGTCAGCTCAAACTCCCACCACTCTTCCCATGGCAATAGAGCAATAACATCTTCTCCCTGAAAGGAAATGTGAAGAATAAAATTGGTGCAAATATGGTTTAGAGATTACGTTACTAAATATATGGCCGTTCATGCTTAAACTTTTTCTTATATCTTCAACCTGCTCACCTCCCTCAATTCCCAAGGTGTCCGGGCCAAGACGAATATCCAGAACTACAGCGTACACACTCAAGTTGTTAACCATGCGCCTTTGGATATTGTGTTGTGTGTATTGCATGCCCACAAGTTGCTACCTAGTTAGAGGTGCTTAAAGTTTGTGCAAATATTGAATAGGGATCATACCTTTTAATATGATACTCATACAACGTGATATTTGAAGTCAACGTTGTAATAGTCATACTAATATCTAAAGTTGTACACTCCAAAATAAGCGTCGCTTGCCAGACCACAATCACGAACTTAGATGCTTTTTTCCCGTTAAGTTTGCTGATTTGAATATCACTCTAATACTTTAATCAATTGTTCCAACATGTAGCACTTTTATCTCTTTCTTTTTCATTTATTAGGAAAAGAACTTTTTATTCCCTAAAAGTTAAATTTTCTATCAATTCTCCTTATTACTTTGGCAAAAATTCAGAATTCCCTGAACATAAGTTCTGAAACGAGAAAGTATGAAAAGAGATAGTGGATAATAGTAGCATAGTATAATAAAGACACCGCAAAATAATACACAAGTAAATAATCTTTATAAACAAAAAAATGGAACTATAAGGATTGCCAAAATTAAAATAATTCTGGCAAAAGTAAAATGCATTCCCTCAAAATAAGGATATAAATGTTTTATTAACATGGACGGAGAAAAGAAGAAAAAAGAAGCGGAAAAGTAATAGTTTTCTATACAGTAAATACAGGAGAAAGTAATATAGAACTACATAATTCCCGTAAACAACAACTGAATGTCTAATAAAAAAATTCTAGCAAGAATAAGTCATGGAACAATTATATTTACTTTGAATCTTGAATTTGAATTCTCAAGGCTGTGATTTCTATATTTGGAGAATGTTAAACGATAGTAGGAGATAAGCAAATGAGAAGTTAATTAATAAGACTAGAGAAGATCATAAAACAATGCTAGCAGCCTAGTACAATGAGAAACAAAAGCAAATTTGCACAGTATGAGAAAATTTTCTCTATCTCCATTATCCTTCTATTCTTCCAGCTCTTTACTGCGTAACCTACTTTGCCCTTGCTCCCCAAGAAAAGAAAGAGTAAATACCAAAGAGTAACATAACGTGAAAACAGAATAGTTTAGAATACTACCTTATCATTCTCATTTCCAGATTCGCCAACCCATAGTTTTCCTTCGGAGTCTCTCAAGCAAACAGCAGAATGGCCAGCATAAGCTCCTGATACCCATTTCTCTAGAGTCTCAAAACCACCCCAGCGACCTCTAATTTTTGATAATGCAAGAAAATCTCCAGAATGTATGTCATCGGTAGTAAGGTTGGTGACCCATGGCTGTGGACGTTTTTCAAATGAAGCGCCCATATGTTTCTTTAGAAAACCAATATTTGAGTTCTCACCCCATCCAGTGTTTGTGAACAAAGGGAGAACATCCCAGAGTGCTGAAAGGGTTCCTAACATTCCTGCTTGCATTAGGAAAATTGAGATACCTTTATGTTTGACCTGTTTCAAATCTATTCCATTAGTCTCATAAATAATGCTTTTAGCTTCATTTAAGTAATGATTGGTACTCACATATTCTAACTCAGCTTGAGACTCCCATTCTTTGACTTCAAGAGTATGTTCACGAGACAATAAATAGTAGTCCCATGTCACACGATATGGGGTTGCAAAGATGTAAAGATCCATACATGTCCAACTGTGTGCATTGCTCACCTGCATAATATTTTAATAGGATTACAATCATTAATATTAGGATAAGTACAAGAATCCCATAGATCAAGCATTGGCTTTAAAATGGGAACTCTTTCCATCCAAGCATTAAAAAGAAGGCACAAAGAGAAGTAAAAAGCAGGTAAAAATTACAATCTACAAGTTGCTTTATCAAACCTATCTCATATACTTATGCAGATAACAAATACTCATCATTAATAATAATGTATACAGATCATGCTTCCCAAAATGTTTTCATTCTCCATAAACACCAATAATGTTGGCATTTACAACATCGCTAAGCACAGTTTCCACTAAATATTACCAGCATAGAATCAATACAAAGACTAAGACTCTATAAAAGATACATCACATCCACAGCCTGCGGCAAAGTTTCAACGAATAACATTAGACAGATATAAGTCAACTTTTAGGCTTCCCATGAAGAGGGTGGAGCAAAATAATCAAGATTAACTTTACTTCCACATGATCTTTTCTATATATTTGGCAACCAATCAACAGATTCTTTTTTGATAACCGTCGTGTCCAGGGCAGCTTGCGCGCACCTCGACTTATTCCACGGGATACCTGCCACCTTCCACCGGCAACAGGTACCAGTTAAGTCTATCCACCAATCAACAGATATTTAATACTAAAAAAAACAGATATTTAATAGCAAAGGATAACTAGGACCAGCTGCAAGGACTTATCTTAGTCAACTAAATTAGGGAATCACCTAGATCAGAATTCACAGTAAATACCAACTCAAAAAATACTTAACATAATCAATGAATCAATCAATTATGCCTCCATCCCAACATATTGTGTTCAGCTGTAGGAATCCTCTATATCCATTCCGCTCCATTTGGGCCCATTTCTTTTCAGTACAAGTATATAATTTGTATTGTAAGGCAAATTATGGGTTCTCTTCTCTTAACTTAGAGGATCTCATATTCATACAAGTCATTAACCATACACCTAATGTAAGTATAACAATAGCAACTAATCCTTATTCAAAAATACAAACACACAAGGAAAAAACTTCTCATAATTCAGACCCATTTTACAAATAGCAAAAAGAAGAAAAAGAAAAGAAAAATAGATAGAGTGAGACCTTAATATGAAGAGTGCCTCCACCAAATTGACTTTGGGACTTATTGTGAAGCTCCAACCAAGCAATATTCTTGTAAAAGCAAGCACCTTTCCACTCCAGTATATTATCTGAAGCAGCCCCAATAAAAGTGGGCATGAGGTCCACAGCACTGTGGAGAGAGTTGAGGATAGGCCAAGAGACCTGTCTTGGTAAAAATGGCAGAATATCCTTTGGATGAAATGGTACTTTGAACCCATCTATCTGCCGCCATGGCAATAAACAGCAGAGGAACAAGAAAGTGATTAATAGGCTGTGATTCTTCAATATAACAGCCATGGCTTTCTTCTGTGGAAGATTCTTTGTTCAATACTATGTTTATTAGGAAAATGGTTGTTCCACATGCTTCTAAGTTCTAACTTTATTTCATTCATTAACTTACAAATAGATATTTCTTTCCAATTTCATTTATTTCGATTTTCTGACCCATCATTTGTTCAGTTTCATTAATTCTTTAATCGATATATATTCCATTTTAATCAATTATGTGTCGTCACTACAATCACAAAATAAGTTTCATAGTTCTGACAAAATTGGTTTTCGTCACTACGTAATAGTGACAGGAAAGACAATTCTGTGAATATTCTTGAATTTGTTGCTTCTTCCTTTTAGCTTTCTAGATGTTTGGTTTAACTTAAAAAAAAGATTCAATTTTTACACATATGAAAAGTATTTTTAAAACTAGTACTTTTAAATACTTCATTGACATTTTATGGAACACATCGCCAAGGATAAAACGATAAATAAGTAAAAGCTTAAAATATAAAAAAGTACATTATTTTTTTAAGAATTAATAAAAACGAAAATATCATATAAAATAAAACAAATGGAATAAGAGAGTTTTTAAAAAAATTAGACACGCTATATCAGTGACTTGCACATTTATGTAATTTCCAATTAGCTGCTTTTTTTTTCTTGTGAACGAATAAGCAAGTTGCTTATAATCAAAAATCGTCTCTAAATATTTAGATATATCATACTGGAAAGAAAGTTGATTGATTGATTGTTGGTCCACTATATATAAGTTTAAAATGATTCCTTTTTTGGTTTTACTCAGATATTTCGGTTCGGTATTTTCGGTATTCGGTTTCTTAAAATGCAATACCAATACCGTACCTAATTAAATTCGGTATGGTTCGTTTTTTTTCCTTTCAATTTCGGTTTATTCGGTTTAAATACTAACTAGTACATAGAGTCATAGACTGTAATATTACAAATTAAAGTACTCAAAAGTACAAAATTAAAAATATTTGTTGATAAAAATTTTGTCCAAAACTAGCAAATATCAACCCAGAAAGAGAAAACTATACATAAAAGAATAAATTTGATCATTAGAAATGTCTTGTTACTTGCTTAGAGTTAATTGATAAATTTAGAGAATAAAAGAAAGTAAATTTTAGATTTTTATATTTATGTTATAATTAATAATATGTGTATTGTGTAATATAATATATATTTCGGTACGGTATCGGTATTTCATTTTAAAATACCAAATATCATATCTAATATCAATATATTTTAAAACTTAAACCAAATATCATACCGAATACCAAAATATCGAATACCAAATAAAATTTTCGATTTCGATACGATAATTCGATATTTACCAAATTATGCATTCCCCATTCTGTTTTGACAAAGTTTATCCCATAGGTCTTGGGTCAGCTCCAATTAACTACTCACTGTATCAGTTTGATACTTCAATACTACTTGCTCAAATCTAAATGTTTGCTAGATGAATTTGTCCTCAGTAAATAGTGCCGGACATCTTTTGGATTTTATTAACTCTCTTATCCTATATTGAAACTTTGTTTTGGGGCAAACAATGATCTCTTATATTTTTTGTTTCTTTTGTAATTATGCCTCTTGTAACTTTGCTTCTTCTTGTTGTCTTTTACAATGAACACATTACTTTATCCAAAAAAAAAAAGTCAAAATGCCGCAAGAACTGGAAAAATAGAGAGATAAAGAAATATACCAAGTTGAGTTGATGACAAAATAATGTCAAATGGAACAACATTTGAATCCTTGTACATCTTAGAACCATAAAGGATCTAAAATAAAAATATTAGATCACGATCACGGTGCACAAAGTATCCGGCGTTCACCATTCGAACCCATGACCTATGGTAAAAAAATTAATTTATCAAACCTCATGGTCAAAAGCTAAGACACTCTATTCTTGTGAAGTTCTTACCCTTCCGTTTCTTCTTTTTCACCTTTATAACAAAAAGCCATAAAGCTATACATTTCTCTTTGCATTTTATCCCCATTTTGATGTAATCCCCAATACCAAAACATAAAGATACAAAAAAATAAAAATCAAAGAAACTGTTTGTATAGAGATTTGATTCATATCAAATATGCTACTACTATTTCTCGATTGTGCATAATTTTTCTTTCTCTCCTCTTTTGAAATCTCTGTAAAAATAATCTTTGTTATTTGGTTGCTCAAAAGTATTGAACCTGTGACTGAAATAATTTAATATTCAATCTCTCCCCCTTCACTAACCTCATTTTTTGCAAGCCCAATACCTAACGCTAAAATTTTCTTATAAATACCATGTTAATTGAGCTTTTTATTACCACTCTTGTTCCAAAATTCCCTTTTAGTCTTGCATTGGATTTCAAGCCAAAATATAAAAATCTTAACTTTTTTCTTTTGAGGATTATTTTGTAGAAATTTTCTGAGAAATTTTACGAGATATTCTCTCCCTATATCTCTACATAAATCTTTTATATTATATTATTTTATTTCCTTATTTAAGTGTTGTATAGTTGTAAAATATAGTTGTAAAATATTTTATTTTCTAGTTTTATTGTAATATATATCTGTTGTAATATTATTGTATAGAAAAGTAAATATCAATACAATATTTTATTCTCTTATTTTCAATATGGTATCAGAGCAGGTAAAGGTCATGGGTTCGAGTCTCACCGCCACCATTGTAAAAAAAATAAAATTTTCACGTGTTTGGCCAATAAAATTGAAAGAAACCTGCACGTGAGAGGGCGTACTGAAAAGACAATTAAGTGAATAAAGTATGACTTCAACATGGTATCAGAGTAGGCAGAGATTATGTTTCGTGTCTCAAAACCACCCATTATAAGAAATAAATTACGTGCATGACCAATAAAAATAAAGCATACACGTAAAGGGTAACATGATCTGATATCATGTTTTAAATCCAACAGAAAAAGCATGCGTATCTACTTAGAAAATAGCTACAACCAAATAAGGAATTAGATTATTACTTTGATATATGATTATTATTTTTATTTGCTAAATTATATTTTATGTAAAAGACTTTACGGCTCTCAATCTCAATACTAACTGGGGTTCAAACAGCCTTGACTCCGAAGGAGAAGATTCTCTAGTCTGTTTTTTCGGTGCAAAATATAGGGCAAGAACTTGTTTCAAAGGTTGGGTTGCCCCGTGGGAGAACTTTAAGAATCTTTTTCGCTCTCAGATCTAATTCTCTGCTTAGTGACTCGATCTCTCTTTCTTTCGAAGCTCGTGCACTACTAATGGCCTCGGAGTTAAGCTAAAAATCCTCCGGATCGATCGGAACAGACCAGCTCACGAATACCATCAATGTCTACTGGAGGAGCAGCAATGAAGGCAATAATAAATACAGAAGTTGCCGTTAATAAGGAGTCGTCTAAATCTACTAAATAAGAAAAAATCCTCCAATATTAGTATAGGTGGGGCAGAAAGGTTGAGCGGAGGCAGGCAAGTTTGTAAAGTAGAGTTTTTCTCGGCACTAATCCCTTGAATCCGGTACCAACGGGTATCACTGCAGAATCAAAGATGAGTGGAGGTAAAAGTTCATCTCAATGCTTACAAAGCTTAAAAATAATTTCATGGAACGTTATCGAAAAATGATAAGGAGAAAAATGTGTCTACCGAAGAAAGAAAGGATGAGGGAAAAAAATGTATCTGTCGGAAATAGAGACAAAGAAAAAAAGATGAGAAAAACGTGTCTGCCGAAAATAGAGTCAAAGAAAGAAAGGATGGGAAGAAAAACGTATCTGCCAGAAATAAGACCAAAGAAAGAAAGCAAAATAATTTAACGATAAAAAATATGCTGAGCATTGTTCTCCACGCATAGTTACTTTGCAAGAGGTAAGTGAGGCTCAACCATGGAAAGAAAATATTATATCGGAGCACATCAATACAAGGGTAGTATCATTTTGATGTGGGAGGAAGACTATGCCAAGTTTTTCAAGTGTACCCGTATTATCAATTATGAATACGTGCAGAAAAGAGAAACAAAAATTATTTTTATAAGAAATGTTAGCTATCAGATGAGAAACAAAATAAAATTATAGCAAGAATAATGTCACCAGAACACAGAAAAGACCTACCAACATATCAGCACAAACGATTTGGCTTTTGATAGAGCGGGAATTGAGAGCCGTGAGAGCGCGTTTTATTTTTTGTTAAAGAATTTTAAAATAACCCTCAGGATTGAAGTTACCATTTTACCCTTGCATTGACTAGAATGTAGAAAGATTATCCAAGATAGATAACATTATTTGCGGTCAAACTTTTATGAGTTTGTTTAAGAAGGATGAGACATGCACCCTTATAGTAGTCTTTTTGACCATATGCCGATACATACAAAATGGATGTTTGAAAGTTAATAAATATAATAGAAAGGGGGAGAATAAAAAATAAAAAGATAAGAGTAGGAATAAGACTAAAGTTGTTGGGGCTGTGAACACTAAATTTTTTACCGAACCCAAATTTTTATATTATTTTAGTGTTAAACACCTATTTTAAGTATAATCTTGATATTCACAACAAACACGTCACTTTTCATGACTCGCCAACATTCAATTCACATATTATTTTATAAATTTTTATTGATATTTGTAACGTCCCGACTTGTCATTTTAAGAATTTATGCCCCGTTCAGTGACTTAAGGTTTCGAGCTATTTTGCAATATGTATTATGACCCGTGGGTGTGCTCGAGTTTGGTTTTCGGAAGATTCGGAATTAAATTAAAAGAAAAATTCTTATTTAGAAGTTTAAATGGAAAGAGTTGACCGGAGAGTTGACTTTTGAGCAAACGACCCCGAGATGGAATTTTGATGATGTCAATAGTTTCGTATGGTAATTTTGGACTTAGGCGTGTGTCCGGATTTGGATTTGGAAGTCTGTAGGACAATTCTATACATTTTGGCGAAAGTTAAAAAATAGAAGATTTTTGGAAAGTCCGATGGAAGGTTGAATTTTTGATAACGAGGTCGGATTTCGATTCCGGAAATGAGAATAGCTCCATTACGTCATTTATGACTTGTGTGCAAAATTGGAAGTCATTCCGGATTGATTTGATACGTTTCAGTGCAAAATATAGAAGTTGGAAGATTTGAAAACTCATAATTCGATTCGATATGCGATTCGTAATTTCGGCATTGTTTGACGTG